ATGGGGTAAAGCAAATAAACTAATATAAACAAATAAACTGTAATATTTACAGTCTATGGGGAAAACAATATAAACTGTAATATTTACAGTTTATGGGGAAACAAATAAACTAATAATTACAGTTTGTGGGGAAATAAATTAACTGTAATATTTACAGTCTATGGTGGGAAAAACAAATAAACTGTAATATTTACAGTCTATGGGGAAAAAACAAATAAACTAATATCTACAGTTTATGGGGAAACAAATAAACTAATATTTACAGTCTATGGGGGAAAACAAATAAACTGTAATATTTACAGTTTATGGGGAAACAAATAAACTGTAATATTTAAAGTCTATGGCGGGAAAAACAAATTAACTGTAATATTTACAGTCTATGGGGAAAAACAAATAAACTGTAATATTTACAGTTTATGGGGAAACAAATAAACTGTAATATTTACAGTCTATGGCGGGAAAAACAAATAAACTAATATTTACAGTCTGGCGGAAAAACAAAACAAACTGTAATATTTACAGTTAATGGGGAAACAAATAAACTGTAATATTTACAGTTTATGGGGAAACAAATAAACTGTAATATTTACAGTCTATGGCAGAAAAACAAAACAAACTGTAATAATTACAGTCTATGGCAGAAAAACAAAACAAACTGTAAAATTTACAGTCTATGGGGTGAAACAAATTAACTGTAATATTTACAGTTTATGGGGAAACAAATAAACTGTAATATTTACAGTCTATAGGGGAAAAAATAAACTGTAATATTTACAGTTTGTGGGGAAACAAATAAACTGTAATATTTACAGTCTGTGGGGGGAAAACAAACTGTAATATTTACAGTTAATGGGGAAACAAATAAACTAATATTCACAGTCTATGGCGGGAAAAAATAATAAACTGTAATATTTACAGTCTATGGGGAAAAACAAAATAAACTGTAATATTTACAGTCTATAGTGGGAAAAAGAAATAAACTGTAATATTTACAGTTTATGGCGGGAAAAACAAATAAACAAATATTTACAGTCTATGGCGGGAAAAACAAATAAACTAATATTTACAGTCTGGCGGAAAAACAAAACAAACTGTAATATTTACAGTTAATGGGGAAACAAATAAACTGTAATATTTACAGTTTATGGGGAAACAAATAAACTGTAATATTTACAGTCTATGGCAGAAAAACAAAACAAACTGTAATAATTACAGTCTATGGCAGAAAAACAAAACAAACTGTAAAATTTACAGTCTATGGGGTGAAACAAATTAACTGTAATATTTACAGTTTATGGGGAAACAAATAAACTGTAATATTTACAGTCTATAGGGGAAAAAATAAACTGTAATATTTACAGTTTGTGGGGAAACAAATAAACTGTAATATTTACAGTTAATGGGGAAACAAATAAACTAATATTCACAGTCTGTGGGGGGAAAACAAACTGTAATATTTACAGTTAATGGGGAAACAAATAAACTAATATTCACAGTCTATGGCGGGAAAAAATAATAAACTGTAATATTTACAGTCTATGGGGAAAAACAAAATAAACTGTAATATTTACAGTCTATAGTGGGAAAAAGAAATAAACTGTAATATTTACAGTTTATGGCGGGAAAAACAAATAAACAAATATTTACAGTCTATGGCGGGAAAAACTAATAAACTGTAATATTTACAGTCTATGGGGGAAAAACAAATAAACTGTAATATTAACAGTCTATGGCGAGAAAAACAAATAAACTGTAATATTTACAGTTTATGGGGAAACAAATAAACTAATATTTACAGTCTATGGCAGAAAAACAAAACAAACTGTAATAATTACAGTCTATGGCAGAAAAACAAAACAAACTAAAATGTACAGTCTATGGGGGTAAAGCAAATAAACTAATATAAACAAATAAACTGTAATATTTACAGTCTATGGGGAAAACAATATAAACTGTAATATTTACAGTTTATGGTGAAACAAATAAACTAATATTTACAGTCTATGGCGGGAAAAACAGAGAAACTGTAATATTTACAGTTTATGGGGAAACAAATAATCTGTAATATTTACAGTCTGGCAGAAAAACAAAACAAATTGTAATATTTACAGTCTATGGCGGGAAAAACAAATAAGCTGTAATATTTACAGTATATGGGGAAAAACAAACCAACATGCCATACAAAACAGACATTTTCTTCATAGGGTACTTACTGAATTACACCTGCATTTATGTTGAGCATCATATGAATGGCTTGAGTGACCCAGCTGCTGTTTTTGTTGCTTAGTTACAGATCACCAAAAATAAACAAACTTAACAACTACCCTGTATTTTGTGTGTGCATTTGTTTCTCCAAAACTCATTTTCACCATATCTAATTTTCTCTTAAATTCATAAGCCTGTTTATTTAATCAGCAACTAAGAAGGCTATATTTACTTACTAAATGCTAAAGGCCTAGTAGGCTTTTGGGCGGCTGCGGCTCAGTTGGTATAGTCGTCGCCTCTCAACCAGAAGGTCAAGGGCTCAATCCCCAGCTGGGCAACATGTCCGATGTGTCCTTGGGCAAGACACTTAACCCTGAATTGCTCCAACCGCTTCAGTGGTGGTGTATGAATGGGATTAGTTACTTCTGATGGATGATACTACATAGCGATCACTGCCATCAGTGTGTGAAAGGGTGTGAATGGGTGGGTGTGACCTGCAGTGTAAAAGCGCTTTGAATAGTCAGAAGACTAGAAAAGCGCTATATAAGCTCAAGTCCATTTACCATTTACCATTTTTGTGGTCTACTTTGCTTAAAGTTCCCATGAGGAGTTTTTAACTGCTTAAGAAACAGACTGAAATGAATCCTTATCATCAGCTTTAAAACCAAAGAAGATTATTGGCGACAACACTGACCATTTCTATAGTATGTCTATAGTTAAATAGTTCTATAGTTTTTTTTTATTCGTGTAACTGTTGCCATAGAGTAGGTGTCACGTGAGATAATTTATCCGACAAAAATATGAAAAGGATAAGCGTATTCACAATGAATTATACAATTTACTTTTAAAAGAAAGCAATTTGACTTTTTTTTGGGGGGGGGGTCAGAAACTCTAGGCTACTTATGATTGATTGATAATGCCAACAAGATACCCTAAATCAAGACCAACAGCCAAGTAGGCTTGCTTATACTCGATATGCTCTATATGATAACTTCATCATAAATCTGATTGTAATATCTGTGAATATAAAGATTAAAAAAAACCTGCAATAAGCGTGTGCAATAAGATGTATTGTTAAAAGGAAAACAATGCTCCGCTGCCCCAGAAACTAAAGCAATACAATTTAGTTTACATGTCAATGCAGTAGTAATAATAACAATTAGCCTACGTTTTTAAAATACAACCAGTATTATTTTTTATTAATTATAAATATCTGTACAGATAGATCTGATTTTTAAATATATATCTTTTTTGTCTCCTAATAAAGTTGTTTGGTAAGGCACAAACAGAAATGGGTTCAGGGGAAGGAAATCTCTTTACTTTGAACTGTACAGGCTGACATTATGTGGGCAGCATCGCCCTCAAGTGGACAGAGACTGAAATTACATGAGACATGCGCTATATGACCATATCTGTATGCTGCACCAATCAAACCTGGGTTGTCTGTCAATCAAATATAAAAGATTTCCAAACATAAATTATAGTCTACCATTACAAAGATTATTTTAATTCTATTGACCAAACAAAGACATTAACCAGAAAGTTTAAATAAAACATTATACAACTTTTATCAAAACTTCCAAATTTATTCAGACAGAATCTTTTTTTAAATAATATCTTACATTATTAATGTTTTCTTTCATTGTTTCTATCTTCACACAGTGTACCTTAAAATTTTATATTGTGTTGTTGATAGTGCCTCTGATATTTTCTATAAAATACACCAAAAGATTCATATACAGGTGACTCAACCTTTTACAAAAAACGGTAATACTTAAAAATATTCTTAACCAAGAACATTTGAATAGGAATTGTATAACTGTGAAGTCAGAGGTTATGCATGTGGTTTGGCATAAAACTGTGCTGTGCAGAAAAAGGCTCTGATGTAAGGGATTTTGTCTTCTAATATTCTCAGATTACAGCTGACAGACTGAACGTCCATAATCAAAGCGTCACTTGACATCCCAGGTTTGGGGATTATATAGTGAGAACTTTAAAAAATGCAAAGCTGTACAAAAAACAAACTTTGGAGCTTGTGGCGGCTGATATACAACTCAGGGAAATGATGAATAAGAGAACATTTAAAGCTCCACCATATTGTTGCCATTAGTGGCTAATTTTGATGTGTAATGGGCAGCAGCCATTCAGCAGAGCATGTTACCTGTAGAGCTGGTTTCCTCTGATGAACAGAAATTTCAGTAAGAAATGAACCGAGGACCCCACAGTGCCATAATTCCATCTTAATTATTTGCTTTTTCATGCCCACACTGGCACCCAATGTTCTGTTCTCCTCCACAAATATGTCGTTTCAGAGATGATATAACAACGTGTGGCTGCTGTGCTTCTCATTATTCGACTAATGAGCTGTCTCCATGGCAGTCTGATCTGTCAGCCAATGGAGCGAGCAGGGCCTGTGCAGGGGGGAAGCACGGCCCCGGGGTCAGCCAGGCGACGGCTTGAGACGAGGGGGCCGGCATGCAGCACTTAACACCGGGAAGAGCTCGTTAAAGTGTCATTTTTGGCCAATATGCTCGTCTGAGTCTCGGAGGCCAATCAGCCATACTGTTCCCATCGTAGGAGAATGACTTTCATCCATCAGCGTCAGCTATATGATGATATTAGCAGGTGTTTACTGATAGGCCATTCAGAGGAAGACTAATGGAGGCTCTAATATCTTTCCACACTCATACTCACTCAGTCGTTTTACTTACTGGCTCTTTCCTAATAAGGTCACAGGACGTGCTTGGAATCTGTCCCAGCATGCACTAGGACGGTAGGCAGAGAAACCCCAAGCATCAGTTCCTCACTTTATTTAACACAGACAGAAAATCCTGGTCATGCACAAACTATACATTAAAATGACTGGTGTGTCCACACACTGTCACAACTTCTAGTTCACACATGGTAAAGAATGGAGCCCAAAGCAGCTATGCAAAGAAACACTGTTAGTGTAAAACCTACAAAGAGCATTTTTATACTTGCTTATACTTGGGACATCACTTGGATTGATTGTTTTTGGTGGGGCGCTCCTCTGTCTGAGCGACTCATGGTTTGCAGGCTCTATCACTGCAATACGCATTTTAAACAAGGCTAAATAAGCAATGTTTTTTAAATGCTGTGCATATGTGTTTTTACCTATTTAGGGTACTTTTAGCTTTTTATGACCTAATGTGAGTGTTAGTGTGAATGTTTGTATGTTTTCATGTTGAGCCTCAACACAAGGTCATTTTCTGTCACAATGTGATGGACAATAACGTTTTTTGAATCTTGAATCTTGCATGTTTTTTTAAAGACCCCATGCTAAATTGTGGAGGTGCTGGAAACATGTCTTGATGTTGTTACTGATTGATGCATGTGACAGCTGATCAGCAAAGACACACACTGGGTAGATCATGATTTTGAGATAGTCTTACAGTTAGTGGAAGTGCAATGGACCTGAGAGTGTATAATCCTTTTCCAGTCTTCTGACTACTCAAAGCGCTTTTACACCACAGGTCAGACCAACACATTCACACACTGATGGTAGAGGAACGTCAACGAAGCAGCAGGAGCAACTTGGGGTTAAGTGTCATGCCCAAAGTCATGTGACATGTGGCTGCAGGAGCTGGGGATTGAACCCCTGACCTTCCAGTTAAGAGATGACCAACACTACAGTTTTCAAAAAAGCCCTATATGGAGTGATTATAAAAAAGTAACTTAATAGAAAATAAATATATTACAAAATGTTTTATAAGTCAGGAATAAGTAATAATGTAAAATCTTGGGTTGAATGTTTGAAAAAGTCCAGTTTTGCAACTTTGTTTTGTTAATGATGCAGTCATAATTGTTGTAAGAATCTTCAGTTTCAGACTTTCAACTACACTTTTGTCATTAGTTTGCAGTTTTTTCTTATAATCCAGGATTTTTCATTTGACAACTATGACACTAAAGTTCAAAGTTATAAATTAATTGAAGACTTGGGGGGAGGGGTTGCTATTGTACAGAGGTAACGTTGAATGTGTATTAAAAAAAGGCTATATAAGAGAGATAGACTGGTCAATAATCTGATTAACATGTGTAAAGTTGAGTGATAAATTAAAGCAGTCATGCTGTTTCACACCGTTTATCATTGAACTTTAAAAAATTGAATTCTTTGTAATGAGAACAAAAAAAACAGACACTCTGTATCCACATTGGTGTGTGTGAATGGTTATAATGGAATCTAAACTTTCTCCAACGGCTGTAATTACAGAGCTCTTAGTCAGGCCAAGCTCACTAAACTGATACCCACATCATGTTTTGAATTTTGTCACTTCTTGCTTTAATGACGCCCAAGACTCTGAAAGCATAAGTCAGGTTTAGCTGTGCAGGACATGAAGCTGAAAACCTCTCTCTCTCTCTCTCCTCTTCTTCACTTCTTTTGGGCTCTAAATACAGGCAACAGCCATGTTGGCATGAGAGAAAAAGAAGTCTAAAATCTCTGTTCTAGTTTAAACATTTAGCTTTACAACTGGAAAAATGCTGTTTTCCTCTTGAAGGCAAAAACAAGAAAAAGCTCATTCCATCAACTCGGGTTCTGCAGAGGGCCGGTTGATTTCTACTGGGACTGTCCATGCAACAGTTTCATTGCTCAGGTCAGACCTGGTCTTTTGAAAAAGTTCTGTTTAGTAACTATATTTGTCATTCTGGCAGTGCCCCAGCCTTCTTCCATGTTTGGTCCTTTTAACTTTCCATGTAACTTTCCTCATGTCTCCTCACGGCGAGGATAAATATTTCATGGAGAGCCTGAGGCGTTCCCTGGCACACGCTGTACCTCGCTGTACCCAGGAAGCTCAAGCAGTGGAAAAAGAACAGATGAAGTGGACCTACAGCCCTGCAACAGACAGGAGCTTGTTTTTTTTTGGAATAGTTCACTTAGCATCACTGTCTCATGCACTTCAGCCCAAAACTCTTTAGATGTGTCATTTCGCCCTAATTTTTTTTTCTTTGGATCCTTTTTTACCCCCACAGTCCCCTACTTCACTGCTGCTGCTGCTGCTGCTGCCTCAAGCTTTCAAAATGTTTCTCACACATGTAGCTCATCAGGAAATTCTCACTGGCATCTCAACAAGAAACCTTAAATAAAGCGCATCTAGTTTTTGAAATTTAAATATCAAACATTTGTTTTATGCCATGACTCCTTGATTTACAGACAAGACAGGAGTAACATAAGCTTAACATGGTGAAACTGAGTTTTTCCACAGATCCCTAATTTAAAACACAATCCTGCTATCGGGTCTGTTAAACTGTTAGTTAGAGGTGTTTTGAGTTTGTTGTGTCCGCCTGCTAAAAGCATGCTGATGTTAAAGCTCCTGTGAGGAACTTTCAGTTTGACTGATTCTGACACCCAATGTAGATGAATTAGTTTCTTTGATCTCATTACTGATTTCTTTTCCATAAATGCAGTGCTTATTTATCACACCGGAGTCTTACTGATTGACAATCTGAATCTTCCAATCTTCTTTGTGGAGGCTACATGCTAAAACTCCATAGATATCAATCCAATAGTTTTTGAGACATTTCATCAAAAATCATAAAAGCTAATGGAAAGTGAATGAATCAACAATGTTTTAATGACTCATCATCAGGGAGCCATAACTATGTTATACGATATTGTAAAGGTCAATGATAAACACATTGCAATTCTCAATACCCTCTTCATTAACAAGGCTGAAAAGTTCACAACTGAAACCTAAAAATAATTGAAACTATATGTTTACTCCCAAAGTAAGACACTGCTTTCTACAGCAAATATTAACTAACTGCTTTCATATTGGCATTCCATCTCATGACACTTGTCTGAGTCAAACTGTCAAATTTAAAGTCTGAAAAAGATGTTCTGATGTGGTGCCAACATGTACCTCTGTTCTCTGGACCTACACTGACCCCTCTTGTCCCTGCTGTCTCCTGAGTGCTGTCCTTCAGGTGTGGCCTGGATGTGACAGACAGCTGCAAGCGGTGGCACGGTTTCACACCTTGGCTGCCCCCCCCTCCGCAGACAGCAGCCTGGGAAACCACAGGCCACCAGGCTGGCGCCAGCCTGTACGGCTTAGAGCAGGGCAGCCGGCCCAATCAATACCTCTGCATTTCCTGTCCATTTGCTCAGGTCTCTTCATTAATTATTACTGCTTGGCGGAGCTTCAATGCGCTCGCTGGCTGGGCCGAGGGGAGAGGCTGTGTGACCTTTCCCCGCCCCTGGCTCGACTGGGATCAAATACACAGGCGTGGGGACAGACATAATAAGGCAACATAGATGACATGACTCCTGAGCCCAGCCGCCTCCCCCTATGTGGAGAGGAAGCTGCGCCAAACACCACAAAAAAAACATCATTTTGCAGCTGTGCTTATCAGCGGGGGTGCATACGTGGTATAACAAGACTTTGAGACATTTTCACAACTGGTTTTAGAGCTGCTCTTCAATTTGGCAGACATCCACTACATCCGGCAGCTACGATTTCAGCGCCATCTGAGGTGTGCAGTAACGAGCAGGGTGAACCTGGGTGATTCTAAAAAATGAAATTTAGTTAGAATAAGTGCTGCTTGGTGCATCATTTGCACTTCATGGCACATTTTCCAGATGACAATAACAATTCCTCAGAACATCTTAAATTACGTTCTGCCTGGTATGTGCCTTTGCTGATAAGCGAGGTAACAATAAAGTGCCAGGATTTAAAATGCAGCTTTGGGGTGATATTTTCTCTACACAGGAGAGGAAGGGGACGATTTAGAGCCAACACAACACATGACATGATGCAGTAATGTGTTTTTGATTTTTTTCAATGATAACCATTTATAGATTGAGTCATTTAATTTCTTAAATTATAATCAAAACATTGCAGAGCAGTTTCTTCAGACGTAAGTCAGCACCAGGCTCAGAAGAAGTTCATTTGTCCCCAAAGTGTCGTGTGTTCACTGGATCTCATCCTGCAGCCTTTGCAGACACACACACCGGGTTTTTAGAAGGAGTGTGTGTGTGTGTGTGTGTGTGTGTGTGTGTGTGTGTGTGTGTGTGTGTGTGTGTGTGTGTGTGTGTGTGTGTGTGTGTGTGTGTGTGTGTGTGTGTGTGTGGTGTGTGTGTGTGTGTATGTGTGAGTCCAGGTCAGAATTTGGTGATGGCGGAGGCGATGTTCTCCAAGGCAGATCTAGCCTCGGAGGAGGGGAAAGCCTGGATGGCCTCTAGAGCCCTGTTGCCATGGTAACAGCATAAGTCCACCGCTGTGCTGATGCCTTTCTCCGACTTAACTGCTGCCAAAAGCTGTCGGAGGGATGAAAAACACACGTTAAGTTTGCCATGTTTGTGTCACTCCATCCAGCTGTCAACTCAACAAACTGTGAGGAGCCAGAGGAAGTTACTTTTAAGTACCAATAAAAACGGGAAGTAAGTTGTTTCTTTCTGTGACAGAAAACCAAGTTTGCATGCAAACCCTGGTACCAGCAAGAGGCAGATTACTACATTTATCTGGAGGGGAAAATTCAGGCTCATCAATCTGAGTTGAAATTAAAAAAAAAAAAAAAAGAAAAGCTTTTCCTTTCTTTGACAATGAGAAAATGCACTGAATTTATTTTCAAAGCTCCCGAGTCTCTTGCCTCTCCCTCTGTCCGACTATCCTGGTCCATCCGGTTGTGGGAGTATGCCGTTCACTAAGGCGTCTGCAGTCTTCAAAATGTCAGCATTTCATCTTACATCATGACTGATTAAAGTTACTGATAGGAAACCCAAAGATATTTTTCATTTTTAAATCCCATTCAACAGAACAGTTTGATCATTTGAAGAACATGCATGTTGCTGTGACTTATCTCATATGGTGCACGATTACTATGACAGGAAGTTGAAAATATCACATTAAATCAGCCCTAAACAACAGCTTAACATAACAGACAAAAAGTGAATGTGGGTGTCTTCTGCTGGTGTGTTGGGACATCTTTTTGCTGAGGGCGTTTTACCTCATAAATTCTGGAGGTGGAAAGCCCCGCAGGCCTTTCTTCTCTAAAGAAACTGCGAGTGTCGAGCTTGGCATCAACCAGGCCGCTTTTTCAATTTAAAAAAAATAAAAGATTTATATTCACCCTCATTTCACCCCATCTTATTTGTTTATCCTATAAAATGTATTGTTCCCTCAACTTTTCTTTCTACATGCATATCCAGCTTCATTTCAGCTTCAATTTCCATCTTCTGAATCGGTTTCCTTCAATATTCAGGTTCAGCATATCAGACTTAGAGAGTACTCTAGCTGTGGCATTTCAAAATCAAATCAAATGAATTTGAACCTTTTTTCTTCAATAATATTCAAACAGTAGTATTGTATTTACAGCTGAATTAGCAGCCATTTGTGTAAACACTTAAGTATCTTCAGAATATAAAATATTGACTTAATCATGGTGAAATAACTTTCTCTTTTTATTGTTTACTTTTTTTTATTTATTTGAAAATGTTATTTTTTGTGTTATTAAGGCTTTCCCCCCCGATGACCTTTCATAACAATTTCACTTTTAACATTCACCGTCCCTCCTTAGATGTATCGCCCATGGTACCCCCAGCAACTGCTAAGCTAGCAATGTAGCTAGCTTATGTTGTCCTGACAACCAAAGGGAATTTTAAAATATTTTTTTCTGTGAACTCTTGAACTTTATTTTGATGCTCAGTGCTAAACCAAGCTAACACGCCTAGCCAGCTAACTTCAAAAGAAGCTTTAATATACAGCATTGTTAGCCAAAAATGATCAAGTTTTACTTTTAGTCTTGCATAACTTCATTCAGAATAACTTTGACTCTTATTTGTTGTCACTTTTGATAAGGTGGGAGAGTACAGAATAACAGTGGTACAATGAGTTTTGTTTTTATAATGTTTTCAGTGTTTTAACATTTGCTATCATTGTTTTATGTTTATAATCAATTCAGTTCATTTGTTAAATAGTAAACACATGTACTTAAATTAAAACAAATAAAATGCTGAGACAGGTCATTTTGTGTTGAAGCTGTTTATGATGATAATTTGAAGCTAGTCACGCGATCTAAAACTTATTTTTTCTATGATGTTTTAAATCAAGTGCTAAATGCAAAGCAGTATAAAAAGGGTAGTTTCTGTAATTATTTATCATTCTGTATCCAAATTAACCAATAAAAGCATGTGCTTAATCATTGAGACAATTTATGGATGCCAGTTTCATGTTTCTGAAAACTTAGAGCAGTTTACAACTCTTCAGCTCAAGGTCTTTGTTTTCCTCTCTGAATGTTTTTTATCCCTCGCTCTCTCCTATCTCATCTTTCCTCATCGTGTCCCCTCATCTGTCCTTTCCTTCAAACTTCTCCCCATGTCCCCTTCTTGTCAGGTCTGCTGAAGGAGATTCTCTCACAATGTCTCAGAGCCTCAGTGTCTCCTCCACAAATAGGCCTCTGTAACTTATCCTTCCTGCTCTGGTTTCAGACTGGGCCAGATAACCCCCCAACACCATCAGACCCCTACTCTGTAGCTCCAGTCTCTTCTTGCACCCCTATCTGCCCCCCTCTTCTCTCACTCATTGACTTTGGAAAGCTCATCTCTCAACTTTGATATAGGTTACAGTGGAAAGACATCCTGTTTCTCTCCATGGCTTCATCAGATATTGTGCCGGTGAGTAAACAGGTGAATTCGAAAAGATAAGACAAAGAGAAGTGACGCTTTTTACAAACTTGTGTCAGAATTTTGGATAATAACTCCACAGCTCACAGGAGGGGGAAGATTAAGTATTCAAAGAAGTGAGCTTACCTTTGAGTAGTCTAGTTGGTTTCTCTGTGTTTGTACCTTGCAGAGATTAGAGAAAAGAGGGTAAGTTATCAAAGTTTCCCTGGTTTCTGAAAACACTGTGGACAGTTTTTCTTTTTATTCTCAAAGGAAGAATTTAATGAAATTACAGACCTTGAAATAATTGACGCTAAGTAGAAATCATTTGATTTGTGAAGTCAAGAACTCCTTAAAACACATGTTTAAACCCTGCTGCTCCGGGACTTTCCCTCAGCATAAATGGGTAAAATAATGGAGAAAAGCCAAAAGTTCAAGTGAATGAAGAGGTACATAAAAAAAGTAGTTTTTTAGGGAAACTATGCATTCACACAAAAATACATAAATACATATTTTCCACATTTCAAGGCCAAAATATCTACTGAATAAATGTAATGAAATCTTTCGGTTGAGGCACTCTCATAATTGAACTATCTTCTAACCAGGAGTCTCAGAGCCTTGTTGGCTGCTGTTTGGAAGCACAGAGGTGTATTCACGTCAATGCTGGACACATACTCCCAACGATATTTAGTACATCCTGATGTTTATCAGATATAATGTTAACCTACTACAGGCTAATATTTGTACTAGGCATTTGAATGACTACAATATCTGACATTCTTTTTGATTATGGCGCTAAAGAAAAGGTGAGCGAATTACTAATGTAATCACAGTTTTTTTTAAAAACAGAAGAAATTAACATCAAGAGCTTTTACAAATTCCATAAAGATCAATCAAAAACAAATATGTTAACCTCATAATGGCTCAGTCAGTAGGTTTCATCCCCTTGAGACAATGAATGGTTGCACCAAAGTTCATCTAATTGAATCCAATCATTATCAAACATTTTCAGTCTGGACCAAAGTTAGAGATATATCACTAGAAAACCCTTTGGTAGGCAATTCACTATAGAACCGATTTTTGTTATACTCGTTGAAATTCTCATTTGATCTCAAAAGGAATCAAGAAATTAAAAAAACATGGGGCTCTATGTCTGGCATAAGCCTGCGATGAGTCCTAAATCATTTCTTTCAAATCATTGTGGGTCTCCTTAACAAGCTAACCCTAACCAGCTAGTTTCAGCATTCTGGCTGGAATCTTTCATAACCAAACTCATTTTGTTTCTGCTCTCCAAAGTTGCTTATCCCAGTTTTTTGGAAAACCTGTGATAATACACCTCAGGACATTTCAGCTGAGAGATATATTCATTGAATGATAAAAAAACCCACCAATACCTGAAAAATCTATTCCAAAAAGAAAGAAGCCTGTAGATGTTTGTATAGTCCATTTGTACCTGCTGCAGCTGCTGATGCCATCTCGCCTGGCCAACGATCTGACGGTGGAAAACCACGGGGGCGGCACTCAAACTGAACGTCACAGGCTCCCCCACGCTGTTCTTCACAAAGGGCTGCAGGTCAGAGTTCAGCTACAGAAAGGAGAGTGTCACTCAGACATCAAACAGGCAGAGGTTTTACTGTGGTAACAATTAAGACAAAGCCAGGGATAAAAAAACAAGGGGTGAACAGGTGTCCATTACCCACACTCTGAGTGACCCTGTTAATGAGCAGACTGACGAACACTTAATGACAGAGCTAGCCTGATGAGGATACTTCTCCTTCAAAGACCTCATTCCTTTCCTCCCATGCTGAGATTCCCTGTAGCTGCAGAGGCCTGCAGACAGGATGCTACAGGGATCCACAGCAGGAGAGGGCATACTGACACAGCACTGTGATGTAATGGGACCATTATGAATGACTTTTAGAGGCGCTCCAATAACATTCAGCTTCAGAACCTGAGTGAAAAAAAGATTTAACACCCACATTGTGAGGAAAATTAACTTTTTATACTGACATGATTTTCTCATGGTCGAATAATATGACACTTAAAGGGATACTTCACCTGTTGAAACATGAATCTGTATGGACATTGGGTCATATATGTAGTAGAAATGTGAAATACATTTTGAAGTTGGTGCCTTCTTGGCCGAGAAAAGGTAGAAAGTGTCTTTTTGGCTCATGTGGATGAAAGACACCAAATCCCAGAATGCACAGCACCACAGGCCACTCCCACTAAGGTCCTCTATTTACAGACATATTTACTTCAACACATACTGCTGTTTCCTCAACTGATTCAGAGATTTCTTCCAGAATTGATCTTGGAAATTCCTGTCAGAAAACAGACTCTATGTCTGTGTCCATAGGCAAACAGTGAGAGCACCGACACTACCAGTCCACCCCAGCTCGAGCCAGCCCCAGCTCCTCGTCCTCACCTCCGCCGACAGGTAGGCATCATGTCTCTGCTGCTGAGCTGGAAGCGGGCGGCTAGCGATATAGTGGCGAGATGGCTGCTGCCGACAGGCCGGACTTGTTTCTCGGCTGCTGTGGCCAGTGCTGGCCCCGGCGGCCGACAAGACCAAGACCAGCCTGTCAGCAGCAGCCGTCTCACCGCTATATTTATATATTTTCGCCATTATCAGCTTTCTCCGTAGAGCCTGTTAGCATAGCTTCCAAGCAATACGGCGGACGTTAAGTTTTGATTCTGGGAGTGAGTTCCCACCCACTGATCTGTGATTGGTCTGTAGCTTCAGTGGTTGAAAATATGAGGAAGTAGCGTTTTAGTTTCACCCCGCTAACCACAACAGCTTCCAGTGACGCAAAATCATCATTTTGCGTCACTGGAAGCTCCTTTTCAGACTCAGAAATACAAAGATTTCCCATCTCAGGAGAAAATGAGGGCGGGATGCACGACCATTCAAAAATACTACCAAGTTTCTAATGATACAACGATTAATGCAAATGGGTGAAGTATCCCTTTAAATCAAATGTGAATCAGGATAACAAAAGGACTGATCCATCTTGAAAGGAATTTATTCAATTAAAAATGTAGTTTCTTAATCCTATTTTTTAAATTTAGGTTAGGTGTGAAGTGTTTGACTAAAAATTAAAATAAAACAATAACAATTTAATAGCACGCTATCAAACCAGACAGAAGACGGAAGAGAAAAAAGTCAAATGGACAATGTATGGCGGTCAGGAAGGACAAGTTGTAGAAGGGAGGAAGACTTACAAATGTATTAAAGGAACAAGTGCTACTTTGTGATCCAGTAGATGTCGCCCTTGAGCACCAGCATTAAACCAAAACAAACTGCTGTTGGGCTAAAACTCCCCCATACTGAAGCCTCCGCTCTCCTACAGAGACACACCTCCAACTCCCCTCCTCTCGCATTCACATGAGGGAGTCAAGCACAAGCAGCAGACAAAATTGTCCTTTGCTTGAGCTGCAACTGCCTGTGTCCTGCATTGTACTGTTAGCATGCTAAAGTTAGCACACCTTAGATAGCTCATAGCTTCACATTGCATGCAAATTTACACAAAATGAGCGTGATCTAAAAAGGCTTACATGACATCCAAATAAGCAGTGAGTATATTATCATTTTTTTTTCTAATCCTTGACTAAAACAGCTTTATACGGAGGGAGAGGAGCTGGCCGTCCCGTTCTGAGACAGTCATGACTCAGAGAGACATTTACAGAGGATATACTTGATTTCTGCTATATTTATGTGTTAAATGTCTTTCTTTAAAGCCCCAAAATAGCCATGGTAAAACATCTAGATCACCATTAGTCAATAAGGTGTTTTTGTTCAAGGAGAGGTGTTTTTTGTTGTGTGGAGAGAGAGAGACACAGTGTTACTGTGGATCATGCAAAGATTGTTGCATCACTGGTTGGTTAAAGCTTTAATGTTGATATCCTTGCTAGTTTCTTCCAGCCTATTTATACAGTACATTTACTTCAATCAGCCTTAACACTATTTAGTGAGCCCTGACATCATGCAGGTCATGTTTCAGTACCATGAAACATTGATTTAAATGTTGCTTTCTCTCTTATGAGTGTACAGAAGAAAGTGACATCACAAGTTTTCAATAAAGCTCGTCCACTTCAACCCAAGAGAAAAAAGTGATGGAACATGTTCTCAAGGGAAATAATCAAAACATTAACAACTCTGACAGGATGATTTATGGTGATTTTATACCCCCACACTTGACTGAATAAAGCCGAACAAAAGTTGTGGACTTGTATTTACTGATTGGCTGCGTGTGATGATGGTCAGCTCACACTTACTTTGTGGCCCAGCGACAGGTGCTTTCCGTACTTGTAGGCCAGTCTTTGGGACTCCTTGTCGTGTTGGGCGAGCTCCATCGCAGCTTGACAGCTCTTGGCCAGCAGGGCCCCATGGGACAGGAACGTCTGCTCCTCCCAGGACGCCACGTCCACACCGACACTGAGACTGTTCTCCTGTTGTGTGCACAAGAGGCAGAGACGCTTCAAAAGCAGAAACTTTAACCTTTCCTTTAGTGAACATTAAAACTTAACATCTCTGAACTGATGTGCTATACATATTCTTGGAATTTGTTTAAAAAAAAAACCCAATATATTACAATTGAGTTAAACTTTGATAATAAAAAAAGAAAATAAACACAAAACTGAGATTTATCTGGTGACACTGACTGAACATTTCTGTTAATAAATGAACTGCACTGTGACTGTTGTCAAGTTGAATTCACAGCTAGAAAAACATTTCTGACTTTATAAATGCAATGTCAAATGAAGCCAGGTCTTTTTTATTCTTACATGTTTATATCTCTGGGATACCGTTAAGACATAACAAACTATTTAAAAGAGTTTTAACTTTGACAATGAATGCACGCTCGACTTGTGATGTATTTCCTGTAGTTTTACCTTTATTGTTGTTATCTTAATGATTTGTGTGTAATATTGCAATGTCTGTTAGTCTGTCCTTACTGTGCTGTTCTTTCTGTTTTTAACTATTGTACAGTGTCTTTGAGTTTTTGAAAAGCGCTTATAAATAAATTGTATTATTATTATTATTTTATCCCCAGGATACCGTTAAGACATAACAAACTATTTAAAAAGAGTTTTAACTTTGACAATGAATGCACGCTCAAGAGCAGAAGCAGACATCACACTTGACATTTACTCTTAACTACTTCAGAGTGATGATTAAAGGGACTTGACTAAATGGTTACTGATTATTTTACTCTACAGGACTTTAAGCTGTAAATAAGAAAAGTGCTTGAGAACTAGGATTCATCATCACATGACGACAATCCAGCTGTTAATCCCAGACACTAACCGGGTAGCCAGCAACCCGCCTACTGTCAGGAGGGGGGACAGGACCCAGAAGTCTCACCAGTGAAAGAATACTGTTTGCAGTGTACATTTTGTATTATGTTTTATCAACATGTTTTATAAAGAGACTAAAACCATCTGTTCATTCCCGCCCAATCTTTAAAAAAGGGGCCACAAATAAAAAGATACATTTTCAAACAGTTTAACTATTTTCCCTTGGGAATGCTACTTACTGTATACTAAGTATAAGCAGAATGTGCTTACATACTTAGACTCCTTTATGCTAAGTAAATAGTGCATTTGTTGGGGACAATATAGAGTGTTGGATTTCTCAATATTAGAATCATTTTTGGTGTATTTCCTTTTTGTCTTTTTATTTTTTAACATCTCTTCTATTATTCATTTATCTTCTTTGTGCACAAAAACAGATTTGCCTTCCTTCATTCTGAGTCTTAACTTAGACTCAGACTACACATTTGCACTCAAACTGACTCGGGGATATTTCCTGCTCTTTCCTCTCCATAAACACTTCTTACAGATTATTTAGCTTTACTATCAGACATCAAAGTTAGACAGCAGAGTGGGAAAAAAAAACAAGTTTTACCTCCGGATTACTGGAATTCTCGTAGTAGATTCCTTGAACCAAATCCCCAATGGCACTAGAAATCAGTTCGACAACCTGCAAACAGAGAGAAAGATAACGTGAGATATGGGTTAAAATTCCATTATGAGAGAGAGACGAGGCTTGATGAGTTTGATCTGCAGTCATCATGTCGTTGTATCGATAACCTACTCGCTCATTATAAATCAATCTGCCTAAAATGTAGATGTAAATGAGGTTGATCAAAACTGACACACTCCTCGGTTCACCTGTGACATTAATTAAAAACCATAATTTCCCCCCCCGATTGAAGCACTAGCTAACAGCGCTCTCGTGAACAGCTGGTTCAGTGAATAAATCGGAGGTGAGATGAAGGGTCGGGAACACAGGTGAACTGCTGTAAACTCAGCTGCTCATTACGGGGCTGTAGGGGCGCGCCTGTTGATTTAATAAAAACAGATGAAGGCTGCAGAATACTTTGAGTTTCTAGAGGAGTCCAGCTGATGAGAGACTGTCTGTCTGGTCTGACCGGCTGAAACAGAGCTACAAGGCAGATGGTGAGAAGAATAATTAAGACTGTGTCCAGAGAGCGGAGAGGGGTTAACAAGGTTTAGGAGTGATGATCCCACTTCAGGGTCCTTCATAGTCTCCTTTTACACCACTAAATTGAATATTTGTTTCATTCAGTGCCTTTGGGCATGGCAGCCTCGTATCCTTATGCTGTTGATAGTCAAAATATTGATCTATTAGGGGGTTTATGTAATACTTGCATGGAATAATTTAAGATCTAAACTATGAAAATATGTAAATGAGCAAGATAAACGTCTCCTTTAAAGGCTTCACAGAGGTAAAACTGTGCAACTTTTAGGAATCTATCATATGGCAATTTTCCTTTAAAGCAACTACAACAAAAAACAGGAACAAATGGTCCAGAGTGCTTTGATGATGCTTCAGTCAGTTTTTCTTTTAAAGGCTGCAGTTGCCCGATTCCTCTTACAGGGGGCATGCATGACTACGTTTCAGCCTACAGTAACACTCCTCGCCCCTTATCCACCACTTGCTTAGAGGAGGCCTTTTTCTATTGATTATTTTAGTTCTGCTTTGATGAATGAGTAAAACGTGGTTCTCTCTGTCCTCCATTCACTGCCTGAGAACTGTGTGGACGAGCGTGCAAAGGGGCAATGCCTGTACAGTTCAGATGAATGAGGTTAAATTTAGAGCTCCTTCAGCTCATCCCAGACATCCTTGGTTCATCAGGAAAGTCTGGTGACGCTGTCCTGCTCCGTCAGCCTCGCAGTGCCCTTTGGGTAACTGAATCCACCGGGGGAAAATATTGAGGAAACCCGAGCCGCGCCCACAGACCTGGAAGGACAATGTGCCTACAGTATTACCAGATGTGGTGTCTCTGCCTGCCTTGGGAAGTGGGGGCCAGTGGGGGTCTTTTTTAGGAAAGTATCAGATAAGCCCCCCCCCCCCCCCCCCCCCTTACTCCATTCCCAAATCCAGCCAGATCGTGTTTTGCCGACAGGTCTGCGAGGGGGGGGAGAAACCGGAGCCTCATGGTGAGATTATTTTACAGTTTATACAAGTAGCAGCATAGGTTTCTTCTCAAGGCCACGACACATTATCTCCACTGCTCTTGAGTGTCTTCAAGAAAAAAAAAGATGTTTTATGAGGAAAACTTCGAAAGCTTTGCCATCCTGTGTTTATGAAAATAGATGAGCAAAAAAAAGCTCTAAGAAGAAAAGAAGAGCCAATCAACAAACAGAAAGTATTAGCATGGTTCAGACCCTGAGGGGACTTTAAACTTGCAACGACTTCATTTTTTATTTTTTTTACTTCTTTAAGAGCTTCACTTGAATGCATGATCATCATCAGGAGTTATCTTTACACTAAGTGAGGCAGAGTGGGTTTGAAAAAAGGGGGCATTTATGAGAGAGCAGCGTCTAATGAGTTATCTTTTCCATTGAATTGTAGGAAATCAAGGACTTGTCCCAGACTATTCTCTACAGGAGAAGAGAAAAGTTTTGGTTTCATGTGATGTCCTAGAAGTCTTGACATGTTTGGTCAGGCTCTATGTGTACGCAGGAAAACTGTCTGTGTGAGTCAAGGCATAACCTGTTGTTTTAAATGCATTCCTGGAAGTCATCAGATCAAACTATTGATCACTTTCTATTGGTTGATATCTGCATATCTGTTCATAAATTACTCCTCCCAAATTCAACTTGACTCCTGCTTAACAACTTGCTTCTGGTACTGTAAATAACCAGAGGAAGGAAGAGGAAGTCCTGGCCTGGCCTGGATGTCTGATATCATTATCAGAACATCTACATATGGGAACACCATAATCACCAAAATAACGGCCCCAAGAAGAGAACAAGGTGTCACATGTTTAAGGCCTCTGATTTTTACACAAAACTAATGAAAGTCTCCTGATGATTTCCTGAGATTTCTGTGTGAATTGGAGTGAGCGGGCCAGGCTGATCTTGTTTACATCATGCTACCAGTGTGATCTACATTCATGTCATGAAACTGCGTCATACGCTTTTTCCCCCCACTTGTTTGTTGATACTGAATACATCTCATCACACGTCACCAGAGTGTCAGACTCTGTCCCTTCACCTGCCAAATCTGATTTCCTCATGATCTTTTTCACGCCACGTCCTGCCTCCAGAGACCCCCGCCTCCCCTCAGACAGGGAACACTTCATGCTGTGAGGGACACGTGTGAATAATCCACTCAGGAAGATTTCAGGGGTAGACTGTCCTGAAATCTTCTAGAATATTCAGGATGTGTGAGCACAGCTTGTTGAACCTAAACTAAAGAGTAGAAGTGAGGATATCTCAGAGTTTGAGTTTTGATCTTTCTGTCTCTTTTTGAGTTTCATAACGAAGTGATGGATACAGAAGAAAACAACAGGAAATGTCTTTACAGTTCTCAGCCAAATTAAGTTTTAATTCCAATGCTAGATTATATATTCACTTTCATGCCAGGCCCCCCTGTCATAACTCTGGGCCCCCTCCTAGGGTCCAAGGGCCCCACTTTGGGAATCACAAGTCTAACCAATCCTTCAGTTTTACTGAACCTGATCTCTATTAATAGCTAAACCCCTCCATGTTTAGCACATAGAGACAAATGTTAAAATTTAGTGAATCTCTACAGACTGACACGTTCATGGTCACACAATGTTTGTGTTTAATTAAATAACACTTGCATGACCCAATTTGTCTCTTAGTACTTAAAGTAAAGTAGACAATTTATTCAAGCAGTATTTGTATATACTTAACGATACATCAATCAAGTTAGTGTTGTGACACAAAGAAAAAAGAAAAATCTGTTGTTTGAGGCTATAACAGCCTGTGAGAAGAAGTCCATCTATCATTTCATTTGGACCAAATAAAATATGGATTCCCGGCCTGTCTATAAACCTACCTACCTCTCCGAGCACTCACACTTTGTTTGTGCATTAATTGAAAACTGGAAGCTCCAGAAAGTGGGAAAAGTTGACCTTGACTTTTGGTTGATTCGTTTACAGGAAAGTAATTCATGCAGAACAATCTCTTTTTTGATCATCTTTAAAAAACATATTTTAGGTAAAAAAAAAAAGAAAAAAAAAAAAGAAATGTGTTTAAAAGGTCCACAGAAGTTGAGCTGCACCTGAGAAAAAAATTGATTAACCTTCTTCTCTGGTGCGGTAGTCAGGAACAAGAAAAAGGGACAACAGAGAAAAACTCGCACACAGAGAACAAAAACAGTTACATGCAGGAGTCTTGTTTGAGGTTATTCTTATCAGAACTTCAGAACAGACAAATGTTATTGTTGCAGACTTTTAAATCCATCTTGGGTTTTCTTCAATGCAAATGTTTTTGTTGTTGTTGACATATTTAGATTGGGTTTTACAAAAAACAGGAGTTAGAATTAGAAGTGTTTTGGTCCAACTCTTTCCACCAGTTTACAAACTTTGGTCAAAACAAACTCCCCTTTTTCTCAGCTCAATGACCTCATTATTCATGTTTTTCAGTAATCTAATTTCCATCTTGTTCATTAATGAGTAAAGGACAGCTTTAGAAAAACACAGCTGAATATGAGCACACTCTGGTTTGCCCTTGGTTTACTTTGTTTTGCTAACCTTTTCAAACATGAGGAACTGATGAATATCGAACGTCCATCTCCTTAACATACTAAAAACTTCCTTTGGTGTATTTCCTCTTGTTGCTCAGATTACATGTACACTTGCTTTATTTGGAGCATTTCTCTGCGGTACTTCACTGCCTGAGTGTGATCAGTATTTTTCTAAACTTTGCAGTAACCCTTGGAAAGATAGAACAAAGTTAAAGGTACTCCAAAATCTGGCTGAACAATATTGGAGAGAAGTGACAAGGTGATATCTTTTCCTTCAGTGATATGGAAAGATAAAAGAAGGTATTCCAAACAAATGCAGAAAGTTTCAACAGGCTTAAATATGGCGATTAAAACCTGAATCTGACAATCATAATTTAATCATTTTGAATTTTAAAGGTCCAATATGTAAGCTATCAACTGAATGAAATGATAAAGTGAGCTTACTTTATGATCAGACATTAAGGAAACATACTATGTTGAAGTGCTGGCTTCTCTGACAACAATGCAGCAGCCAGTATGTCCTCTTTCTAACTTTAGATTCCAGTGTGGAATGTTTTTTTGTTTTGTTTTGGGTAGGTGGCATTTCCACACAGCTGTTTTGGACGCCACTCGGTTTGCCAGGCAGACGGCAAACCAACAGGTGTTGCAGCGATGGAAGCGGGCAAGAGAACTGGTTCAGATAAAACTGATTTTACCCGACAGAAAAGAGCCTCTGCGTGTGTTTGGTGTGTTGTGGTCAAACGAGGATAAATATTGGAGATGCTTTTGCGCAGAAAGCTTTCAAGACTAGGGCAGAGCTGGCTAAACACTGAAGCTTCAGTGTCTGCAACATGATAATCTGCATGTACATCAACTGTAGGGAGGAGGGGGCGGGGGGAGAAAACTCTCTCCAATGTTTGAATTTGGACTGCAGTACACATTATAAACCCTAGGTGTCAGAGTTACATATAACCCCTATACTCTATTTTTTATTATATATATGAGGGGAAACTGTGAAACAGGATACTATTTGTTGATGTTGTGATAATTGTATGAAGTGTGATAGACTAATACTAAAGAATCCATACTAGCTTTAGTTATAGCTGTTGGCATCGTCTCTTGTTAATAAATTCTCTGAGGGTAGCTGATAGCGAGCTTGAGTTTCATGAAACTGCATGAATATGGTGTTAGAGTGTATACAATGTATGCATGCTGAGTTAGAAATCAGTGCTTGCATACAGACACATCTTATTTATTGCAATAAATTCAGACCTTTGCGATGTCTTTTCAATTTCCTAGGTAAACTTCACACAAACAGCAGGAGTCATTGTGCAGTGACATATCTTAATAAAAGCCTACCTGCACTTGTAAAGGAAATACTAGACCTTTAAAATAACTTTAATTTATAATGCAAATGTGTGTACCTTATTACTCCTATCCATGCACCACCATTAATACTGCTTAACATCTAAGAGGGCGTCCCATAGATCCGACCTGAACCAGACTGTGTGCTGAACAAGAAGCAGCCAGGAAGGTGATAAGGTCTGGTCCGACTGGCACAGGGGGGGCAGAGACGGTTATTTTGATCCACTCAGGCAACCGCATTCTGACGGAGCAGCGTGGTGACAGTATCTGTCAGCGGGGGGTTACCAGGATACACAGTAGATATGATCTGCGGTGAACTTACAAGACCACCAACAACCACACACATAAAGATACGAACACACACACACACACACACATCAAAAAAGTGAAAACTCAATAAGGATTCCCATGTCTATTGTGCTCTGACCACATTCTCGTCCACACATCACAGGCTGAAGGCCATCAAACACACCAACGTGTGTGTGTGTCTGTGAAGGATGATTTAAACGATCACTGTGGCCGAGTTGGAAAGTAAAGAGAGCTACCTATAGGGTTGTCAAAATGTTCCATACTTTGATCCTTTAAGATACCACATGTTTAAAAGGGGACATATTATGAAGAATCCACTTCTACAGTGTTTTTGAACATATATTTGGGTAACCTGAGTGTCTACTGACCCACAAAATGTGAAATAAACCAATCCAGTTCTTTGTTTGTGGTCTGCATAAGTCTTATAACACAGAGAAAAATGCTCTGTTTCAAATGTGCTCTCCTTGTGATGTCACAGTGGGATTCTGGTAAAAAGTATCCCCATTGCATTTAAAGAGACACACACACCAAAACGGAGCGTGCCAATTTGAATTGCCCCCCGGGGACAAATAAAGTTTTTTGAATTGAATTGAATCTGAGAGAGCTGGTTTATACAGGGTCACAAAACTCCTCTGGTGCTTGATTCATGTTATATTTTGACCAAAGCACAGCACAGATGTTTAATTTAGACCACAGGGGAATGTTAGAAAAAGTGGAGAAGGGGGGTAATATGTCCTCTTTAAAAAAACACAATCGTCATTATTTTAATGATTTCTTGTATCAAAAAGTACCAAAGCTTTAAAACAACTACAGATCTTCAATCATATTTAAACAAAAGCATACTTTTCAACCGAAATGTTGCAAATGCAATTGTGCAATTTAGACAGTATGCAGAAGTTTGTTTGAAATTTGCAAAGAAATTACCAAAAATAGGAATCTATAGCGTTTGACGTTTACTAGTATAGTTTCTTAGTTTAAAATTCTGGCTTTGGATGACTAACTAGATGACAAATCTACTACCTGGTGAAATGTCAGGTACCATGAAGTGATTCCAAAGAAAAAAACTCACAGTACCAACTAAAGCCACATGTTCTGACTTGTTACTCTATTCATTCACTTCTGCTTGAGATAGGACACTTAAACACAAGCTGAAAAAAGGATTTAAAGAAGTTAGAATAATAATCTTTTGCTGAATTAATTATTTAAATGGGGATTGAGTCTGAGGCTTTATTTCTAAAGCATCATTTATCAGCCAGCAGTGGTTCATCCACCAGAGAGAGAGAGAGAGAGGTGGAAGAGGAGTGGAAATGAATGAATAATTGAGAGAAAGAAAGAAAGAAAGAAAGAAAGAGATAATAAGTATTAGGATGTAGATAAAATCTTACACTGTTATTTTGGATGGTGTTTGGATCCCCTCTGGGGTAAGTTTCAAAAACATGCCTTCAATAACTTACAGACTCGGTGATGTTAAAGAGAACATGTCAATTTAAAAAATAAAAAGTAAGGAGACAAAGCTCAGCGGTACAACATGTAGGGAGAGAAGTTCAGTTGTTTTGCTTTGCACGGACCAATCAGAAAGAAGTGACATCTAATCTAGCCGATATGTCTTTGACAGCAGCCTGAGTGTCAGCTGGGGGGGAATAGTCATTACTACTGACAACATCAGAGTTTTATAAATACTGAGCCAATCTGAAACAAGTGAGGCAATTCAGAGGTCTCAAGTCCAGCCAACGTCGTTCATCATTTTGAAAAAATCTACAATTCTACATTTAATTTAGCAGACGCTTTTATCCAAAGCAAAGAACATCAGGGAGTAAGTCAAACACAAGCAAAAATGCAAAATAACAGATTTAAGTGTGACACACAGGTGCTGGCAGGCAGTGCACATGAGGCAGAGCACTTTTTTAAATTTAAGTTAATATATCGCCATTAACAACATTGACAGCTGTCTGGAGACACATGTTCTCTGATCAGCATCAAAACCATCCTAAATATCGTCATCGTTATCATCATTGTCAATAAGTGCGCAGGTGTTCATAAAGAGCTGGGTCTTTAGCTTTTACTTAAAGGTGCAAAGGGACTCTATAAATTGAATGGTAGTTCGTTCCACCACTGGAGGGCGACAGAGGAAAGGGGTCTAGCTAGAGAGTTAGGGTCCTGTTGAGAAGGTCGGATCAGACGCCTTTTTTTGGCAGAGTGTAATGGGCGGGAGGGAGAGTAGAAAGTAGAAACCATCACACTGATGCATAATGAGCAAACAAAGATTTAAATTAAGATTTGGGCAATTTGGCTCACATGATGAAAACCTCTTGTGTCAGGTCAGATATTCCACAGGGAATGAGTTACTGACAGGCCTGTTACCTTAGTGTTATTCAGCTCGGCAAGTCCCGTACAAGCATTTGCCAGGAGGAAGTCCCCACTCAGGACAGCCATCTTGTTCCCGAACTGCATGTCCTTCAGCGGGCCGTCTGAAACCGTCCATTCCTTCAGATCGACAATCCCGCGATGCACCAGGAAGGCTGTGTGGATCAACTCAGTGATTTCTGCCAAGTTCCTCTGGCTGTGAAACAGGAAGAAGAAAAAAAAGAGAAGAAATATATTTGAAAATCACAGCTTTTTTTTTTTTTGGCAACAGCTTTTAAGAGAGGCGTTCCAGAGGCCTGACAGTTAGAGAGCTTTTTGACAGAACCCTTTTCATTGTCTTAATGCTGCTGAAATATTCAGGTTTGGCCAGTTTGGAGACTCATTCAGAGTAACATGTTCTGCATGCCTACTAGAAGGGAATCGACAAAACAAAACCAAATTGTCGGCATCATTATAACCCTTTAGCAAAAAGGAAAAGACCTTTAATTAGTTTAAGAAACGGCAGCATTCAGACAGCGGAGCCTTGTCTTTTATTTGATTTGAACATGCAACACTACAGCAAACAAAGCCTGCTGGGATTATCACACTTAATTAAACTGCTAACTGAAACTTCAAGTGACTAGAGAAGGAATAACCATTGATGTTGAAATGATAAAGATCTTTATAAAGCTATAATTAAAAAACAACAACTTGAAGTCAAAATCAGCGCACTCAAAGTAAGATTTGTTAGCTGCATTCCTCTCAGCATGTCAGGGGGTCGTGTAAAAGAAGAAATTAAACTTATCATTAGGAAATAACAGCCATTCTTGATTATGAGAGAAAAGACATAAAAGTGGTCTTTGAATAGAGCCTTTCAACGCAGCCTTAGGGAGGATATAATCAAATGTTGATTCAGCCATTGGTTGGGGATAATTAGGCCCCTCTCCATATGGAAGCAGCTCGCCACGCTGCGACAGGAGGGATCCATCCAGACGGGGATGGGTGCGCTGATAGCCACTTACGACCTTCTTTCAGCCGCTTTGAGAACCTGATGAGCCAGTCGTCTGCCTTGCGCTCACACACACACACACACACACACACACACACACACACACACACACACACACACACACACACACACACACACACACACACACACACACACACACACACACACACACACACACACACACACACACACACACACACACACACACACACACACACACACACACACACAGGTCTTGTAGCTAGGTAATTGCCATGTTCGATGTCGGCGTGGAAAAGATGTGATTAAAATTCAATAATGTCATCTATTTCGCCTCTCAATCACACCCATTGTCTGGTTGGCTTCTTTGCTCGCTGACGCAGAGCAACAACACGGGCGACCCGAATGGTCGTGAATAAGTTCAGGAGTTTAAATAAAAAGACATTAACAGATTGACACTTGTGTGTGTGCTCAAGGTGCCTTGGAGTGATGGACACGCGTGACAAATTTCAAGAGGAGAACTCATTGTTCCAAGACGACGAGGAAGACGAGAAAGAGCGGAGGCTGATTGGACGTCATGAATGCTATTTTAGATTTAAAGCCAAGTCCAATGTCGGCCTGCTGGGGATCGTCTGAAACAAAGGTCAAGAAAAAAGAAATCAGCAATAAAACATAATTTCCTCATTCATATTGGTTTCCAATAAAAAAAAGAAATGTTGGAACAATCAATCGTGGTGGAAACAATGTAACTGCAAGTCAGAAAAGTAAACAGTAGCCAGAAGCCATCTCACTGAGCCATGACAATGAGATGAAAGCAGTTCTCTTCATGCTCCCATGTGGAAAGACGCACAGACAATGCAATTTAAAGACGCACATAATGGCTTCATCAATACATAATTTGTGTACAATGTCTTAAACACTCACGCCTTTTACAATAAAGTTTCTTTGTTGATAACAACTCAAACCATAGAGTCAAACCTTCGACATTGGCTCTGTTTGTTCTTCATACATATGGGCAGCTGTGGCTCAGTTGGTAGAGTCGTTGCCTCTCAACCGAAAGGTTGAGGGTTTGATCCCCAACCGAGCAACATGTCCGATGTGTCCTTGGGCAAGACACTTAACCCCGCATTGCTCCCTCTGCTCAAGCTATAGAGGCTTGGGAAATAGTTACATTTTGATCAAAATGATAATAATGTACAGTGCCCAAACTAAAATAAGACAGGTAACGTGACTTAAAGTCTTATGTGATTTTTCACACTTAAATATAATAGAAATGAAGTATATCCTCTGAAAATAACTCTGTGAGTCATGACTGTCTACAATGGGTGTAACACCCGAGTCCCACTGTCTGTGATGTTTTCAGAGTTTTCAGAGTCCTATCTTCACTTTGTTTACATCGCCAGGACGGCCGGCTGACTCCTCCCCTCGTGTATAAAAGTTGTTTAATTGAGGGACTAGAGAAAAGAAGAATAACATACTGTACTCACTGCTTAACTGTGTTTCTAGATCATGCTCATTTCAGGTAAATTTACATGCAGTGTGAAGATACCAGCATAATAAAGATCACTAGCATTAGCATGCTAACACAACAATGCAGCGTGAGTTGTCTTGGTTTCATGCTGGTGCTCAAGGGCGACATCTGCTGGATCAAAAAATCGCATATGAAACCCTTAACAGCAAGAGGTAAAGAAAATAAGCTAAAAATGCCCTGAACAAGCTAAAATCTTCATATGAGCTTTCCTGGGTTTGGGGTTAAATTAAAAACGTAAGCTAACAAACAATACAGAGATATTTTCCTCTCTATGAACGAGGGCTTCTTTCTTATCCGAAACAAACATTTGTTTTTTGATTTGGATGAGTAATGCCAGGAGCAGATAAGGTAGCCTGTTAGCTTTGATCTCACACTGAGTTAAAGAAGACGCAACAGATGTTTTGGCAGATTTTCTGCCTGTTTGACTGTGATATGTGACCGGCTGGTCCTCTCTAATAAAACCAATTCTGTGCCAATCTCAGATTCACAAGCTTGAGCCGCAGGTTTCATACCATGTACAACAGCGTCACAAACAGTAACATGTCAGCCACACACAGAAGTGTACAGTGTCCGCTCGCTCTGCCCCTCCCGCTCAAGTTAAATGTACATGCAGTAGTTCTTTTACACCTCTCCTGTTAAATGTCAACATATATGCCATTGTTAGCTGTTTGTATTCAATGTAATGTTAGTATGTTAGCATGTTGGGTTTGATTGTTTTGATTCGGCATCACCATGTAATTTACAACAAGTTCTCTTTGAAGGCGATGTGAAAAAAGCTGCTGATGAACTAAGTTTCCAGACACAACCGGTGAGGAAGGAACAGAAAGAGGCGGGGCAGCCGGCTGGTGTTTATGAAGAAAGGATAGATGTATGCAAGTGTATGTGTGTGTATAGTGAGGTGGATTTTGGGGGGGGGGGGGGGGGACTAGAGCAAGGTGAGAAGAGCACTATATAACCTGGTGCAGTTTAGAAGATTTCTATTACGTGCGTTAAATTGAATTTTGAAGTTGTAATTGGCCAAAGAAATTGAAATCAGTGCATCGCTATCGAAGATAACTATGAATGGCCATGATGGCTTTTAGCGATAAAGCATTGAATAGCTATACTCTGTAATATTGATAAACAATATTGTGATATATTTCCAGGAAAACCAAGAAACTGTTGATTAAAAAAAAATAACCTGATAAACATGTTCAAATCTACTAAATCAAGGCACTTCATCAACCAAAGATCTTTAGAAATCAAACGTTATCGTAAAGCAGTCCTCGACATCAATCTATCTCAGAGGGGCCTTCACAACAAAATGGTATCAGAGGGATATCTGTGGTATCAAAAAGAGCATTTCTTTTGTGTCAAAATGTCTTAGGATGGATAATTTTACAGTCCTTTCTTACACCTGCTGCTCCCAGCTGGCATTCAAAGAGTTAAGGTAATAACTGCATCTAAAAGTACTGAACAATTTCCCAGTGCCAGAAATTAAAAACAAATTAATGGAGCTCCCGTGCAATCCACATCCCAAAAGCTGTGCCTCCAATCTAGCAATCCTGATCAGCAGCAGTGGAGCTTGGGGAGGAAAAAAAAAAGGGGGACAAGGGGGCCGGTGTATAAATAGCTTTGGTGCCCAGTTGCATAGCAACCGATGCCATCTCGCCGAGGTGTAACGCCCCTCGCCACGCCCCTTGTCCTGACTGTTCTGTTCCATTTTCCTCCCTCCGCAGTCTGCCTCGCCATCAAACACAGCCTTTGCAGATCTGAGTGTGTCCCTGTGTGTGATTTAAAGAGGGGACCTGTCTGTCACAGGGGCCTGCAGGATGTGTTCAAAGACATGGTGTTTCATTTTTCAACAAGGAATTAAGAGGTGTGCTGTGTACAAGTTCAATTATGAGTCTGTATGCTTATCTATCTATCTATCTATCTATCTATCTATCTATCTATCTATCCATCTATCCATCATGGTGGTGCTCTGGTGAATCATCAGTGTCAGGCAGCGGAGTGGGAAATGTTTTACAAATGCTGCCTGTCAGAAGGGAGGAGACCATCCCCCGGAGGTTTCAATCACCCCCCCCCAACCCCGCTCCACCCTCACTCCCTCCGTCTCTCCATCTCTTCCATCAGAGGTGCTAATGAGCCCAGGAGAGGAGGGGGTATTGCTGAGGGGAGAGACAGAGCGAGCAAGGTAGTGCAAATGAGGTGATCCAAGTCATGCTGTGTGTGTGTGTGTGTGTGCGTGCCTGTGTGTGTGTTTGGGTTTGGACCATCCATCACACAAGTGAGGGAATGCTACATGTTGGACTCAGTGATCCGGTGTCACAGTGATGTGAACGCCAGGTTGTGACAGGAGGTGAGTGTGTAATGACTCGTCCTGTAGTGACTCACACAACCTGCCGACACGGCTCGGCCCCGCAGCCTGAGGAGGAGCAAGATCGTGTCTTCCATGGCGCCCGGGTTTACTCCAATTAATTCTAATATTAGGATTGGTTTTGCTCAGACGCGGCTCCACTACACACATATGCCCCGTGCCAGCCAGCAGCAAGAAAGAAAACCTTTCAGGCACCCGGCACACAGCCCCGCCAAACACAGCAGTCACTTCTGGAAACAGCTTGGCACACACCCACATCCCTGTTCAGAGCTGCATGCTGGTAGTTAACACATGTGAGAAAGCCAGAGAGGACCTTGAGGTGCTACCTGAAACCTTCTACCAGCAGAAACTGATGAGTAAAATTTGTCATTTGCATACTAACACGTTAGGATAAATTACACAATAGTTTCAATTTAAATTCAACAATAACACTTCTGCTCGCACGGATGACAAATGAAAGCTGAGGCTGATGAGAATGCCAAATGTAGTGCTACTGTTAAAGGGGAATCCTGGTTGTTCTAAACCTCGCCCTATTTTATTATTCAACAGACTGCCAGCTAAAGCAATATACTGCAGCGACAGGACAACAGGACATTTGACCCCGAAGTTTGTAAAACCAGTCTCTAGGCTTAAAAATACCAAAACTGCCCCTTAAAGTCATGCACCTGAACATGGTGTGACCAATGCTATTTTGAGCTTACAATGAGGCAAGATGTAATGAAAGGGGGTCACCAAAGTTCAGTTTACTGTTAAGCTAAATGTTTGCCTATAACCCTTTGGCTACTAGCCAGTCACAGCACATTGAGGGCGGGATCTGTAAAGGGGGGAAATTAATGCATCCATCCATTTTTTTTTTTAAATATACATACTTCAAACTTGTTGAAAAACCTGCCACTGCCAGGTCTAATGCTCCCGGCATGTCTTTCTTTAAATGAGCATTTTAAGGAACTTTATAATATTACAGAGCATGAAGAAGAAATTGAAGCACACAAGCAGAAAAACAGACAACAACAAAAATGAACATATAAAAGTTAATTACATAAATCTCAGATACAGTAGCTGTTTCATATCTGATATGTTAAAGGGATGCATTCCTGCTCATAGCATGTCTTAAGTGATGATACATAAACAGTATAAAGTCAAAGTTCATTCAGCCAAATAAGGATAATACTGTCAGGCTGATGTATTTCAGCTGATTGGATGTATACATTTTTGTCTTGTAAAGGACACAAGTCAACACAAGTTCAGGCGGTTAGTTTTTAAGTTTAATCGTTTATTTGAATCAGAGACAGAGTACAAAAAAACCCCATTAGTCTCAGAAGAGAAGAGATGCTTTGTACCAGATTTAGCTAGCTAGCTAATTTCCATCTGTTGTCCCTGGGCAGATGATGGCAAGTTGGTTAAGTAAGTTTAAATTTAATATCTTTATGGCCATTTTTCAGATTAATGCAGCCTCTTTTTCACAAAAGTACTCAGCAGTTTAAATGCAGATCAGCATCTTGAGAGTGCCCTCAAAGGGGGTATAGAAGGGACCAATAAAAAGCCTGGTTCCCAATTAACAACAATCTTTCTATATAGTCGTACAATCATCCCCTCTTGAAACTATGTCTGTATTTCCCTCCATATTCTTTATTCACGAGATGATGCAGTGCTTCCTTTACAGGAATTGATATGGACAATAACCACAGAGGACAAGATAGAATTACCTGACGCAAAGATTTGATTTCAATATTTATCCTTCAGGAGCCATGTAACAGGGGCACAAATGGAATCGCCTTTCATGGTCTGCTTGCCGTGCACATTTATGGCTCTACAAAGCAATTGTATCCATGTTTACTGCCCAATGTTTTCTCCCAGGCAGCACACACATGAGAATGGAAATATGTGGAAGCCGAAGAGATTTGTGTGTGGTTGCAGTTTGGACAGACAGCTGGGGATTTCAATTACCAGCTTGTATATTAAAGACTAAAAGTTGCTTAGTGGATACTAGTGTGGTACAATATGGCCATTATTCCTAGGATGACGCTCTGTGTCTGTGATTAAGGTTGGTGGTGGACTCAAGGGGATAATATCTTTGAATACATTGTTTTGCCAATTAGCTCCCTAAATTACCACAAAAGCAATAGCAACCAATTAAACGTGGTGCGTAGTTAGACAGACTTTTGGGAATCCCCTTGAAAGGAGAAAGATTCAACTGAGCATCATGCTGATGTTAGGACTCACACCATTTTACCATTTAATCCATGAACTATGTTCAATTTGACCTGAAACACCTCAACAGCAACACAATTTATTTCCTAAACTCCAGGCAATGCTTCCTGATACACTACCTGGTGGTTCGGACACCTTAAAGAGGACATATTACCCCCCTTCTCCACCTTTTCAAACAGTCCCCTGTGGTCTAAATGAAACATCTGTGCTGTGCTTTGGTCAAAATATAACATGAATCAAGCACCAGAGGAGGTTTGTGACCCTGTATAAACCAGCTCTCTCAGAACGCTCCGTTTTGGTGTGTGTGTCTCTTTAAATCCTTTAAATCCCCCCCAGAGTTTTCCTGGTAGACATCACTCCTTCGCAAGCGAGAATAAAGATGGCGGTCTGAAAGTTTTGTTCAAGGCTGGGGGTGGAGTCTATGGGTGGATATATCAGGGGGCGGGGGGGATTTATTTTTTACCAGAATCCAACTTGTGATGCCACAAGTTGAACAAATTTGAAACAGAGCATTTTTCTCTGTGTTGTAAGATGTATGCAGACCACAAACAAAGGACTGGATGGGTTTATTTCACATTTTGTGGGTCAGTAGACACTCAGGTTACCCAAATATATGTTCAAAAACACTGTAGAAGAGGATTTTTCATTCTATGTCCCCTTTAAATGGTTTAAAAAGGCTTCCAATTATCATTGGATATGGCTACCCAAAGCATCAACTTTGACTTTACAACTTTGAGCTGTAAAGTCAAGCAAACTGTCTTGGAAGTGAAAAAGATGTCAGGAAGTGAGATATAACAATCCAAACAAGAGGAAAGCCAGAAGAACTTCCTACTGGACTGCTGCTGCTTTAATGGATATCTAATGGAGCCAATCAGTAAACCAGCAGTGCAGTATTCCCTTACTGCCCATGCTGTGACTCAAAAAACATGAAAAACAATGGAAACAGTTTTCTTGAACACCCAACCTGGGAACAGCTGCTGCAGGTAGTTTACCTGGGGTAGATGCCGCTGACCATGTCCTGAGACAGGAGATCGGAGGCTGCGTGGCTCGGCCCTGCTGCTTTTGACAACAGCAGTACAACCAGTCCTCTCATCTGCAGGTTGTTCTTGCTGTCATAGACAAAGCCCCTGCAAAGAAACAAACACAGCAGATTAAAATACCAATAGAAAAAGATAATCTATTCAACAGTATATTTATGGCTGTTCCTACCGGCTAATTTAAAACTCAGTTAAAAGCAAATTTAAAATCAAACTAATCAATTACTTAACGCGGCTAAACACGGGATAACGGTGTTAGCTGTGAACCATGTCACATTAGTTTGCCGAGTGTGGCTACCGTCAGTGCTAGCACCGTTAGCCTTAGTACCTCCCTGAAGGTTAGAGGTGGTTATTCATTGCTTTGTTATACTGGTTTTAAACCAGTTTAACCTGGACCAGCCAACATACACATGTACTTTATCTCCATATTCTGTATATGAAGGATCCCTGATGATTAGTCATTTGAACTGCTCCTTTTACACAAACTATTCAAGGCAAGAAAAAGTAAAAGGCTAACCTAAAACAACCAGAGATGTCAGTGACTTTATGAGAAAACTAGGTCCTATAGGGTCTTACCCTCTAAGCAATAAGATTGTGTAACAGCACTGTAAACTTAAATTGACTCGAAAGCAAAGTTGCTGCCCTGCCGTTATGTCATACACCATGTCACCTGTTTGCTTCTGGGATGGGATCTTGCTGTTAAATTCATACACATGGGCAAAATATACAGGCGTTGTTCTATTTGGGGTGCTACAGCAAAGTTGAAATAATTGTGAGGTGGGCTCACAATTTGGCACTTCAAGGGGAACTTTGGTAAAAAAAAAAAGAAAAAGAAGGAGAAGAAGGTTGGAATAAAAAATGTATTATTTGAATGGCATTAAAAGATGTTACAAACACTGTTTAAACGGGTGAAGCTTAGTGATTCACATTGACTAATACTATTTTGTTTTTTTCTAAATGTTCCTTATATCTTTGGATTTATTCTTGCAGACCATTTTCTTTCTATTGAACAAATGATGAAACAAAACAAGAGAATTGCAACACAACGCCATTCTTTTAGAGGATTGTTAACGTGTTCATTGTGCATGGTAAAAGAATACATTACAGGAATATAATTGATCAGTTTTGCTGCAGGACTGTATTTTTCTTTTCAGTTTGGGAGGGTTCAGACCCGCCCCCTTGCCAACAACCTTCTGACAAATTCACACACACACACACACACACACACACACACACACACACACACACACACACACACACACACACACACACACACACACACACACACACACACACACACACACACACACACACACACACACACACACACACACACACACACACACACACACACACACACACACACACACACAGACAGAGCTGCCTGCGTGGTGCACAGATTAAATATCTTTTTACTCTCTCCAGGGAGCAGTTAGACAGAGCACCTCTAATCCTGTCCCTATGGGAGCACTGTGTGCCATGAATCACGCTCTCGTTAGGGGCTCCGAGGCAGACAAGCAGCCACGCCCCCCCTCCGCTCGATGCCCAGACACCAGCTTCACCAGCCCACCGCCAGCCCCGAGTCCCCACCTCCACCTCCCCCCCACCCTCTCTGACCCACCCCTGCACCACAGAGGGAGGTGGAGGAACCCGAGACAGAGAGTGTATGTGGGAGATAAAGCATGAAGAAGAGGGAGGGGTTAGAGAGAGATGGAGGGAATGGAGGCCAGGCAGAAATAAGAATGCAAGAAAAGATTACAGAAGAAATACCCCAGTGGTTCACAGTGTTCTGGTGCTGAGAGGAAAATCTATACAAAGCCCCCCCAAAAAGGTTGTTACCTATAACATAATGAAAGCTCATGAGATTTGTTTGTGGTCACTGTAAAATCGACTAAATCGTAGGAACTAGTCTTCCCTGGTGCACTCATGAACGCTGAAGCATCACCCATTCAACACAAAACGACTACAGAGGCAAAATGATGAAGCTGCTCTCCTCTTGGGGAGTCCGGGTAAGCTAGTGGCCTGAGGGTGGCAGATGATTAATATTTATGTCACTACCCACACCAGCATACATCAATCAATCACAACCGCCCTCCCGCAAAGGGGTGGGACGAGGATGATGTGGAAAAGGAGAGATAGTGGGTGCTACAGAGTGGGAGAGAGAGAGAGAGAGAGAGAGAGAGAGAGAGAGAGAGAGAGAGAGAGAGAGAGAGAGAGAGAGAGAGAGAGAGAGAGAGAGAGAGAGAGAGAGAGAAAAATGAGCTGCTGTCATTTTTAAAGGGTTGTGAACAGGTCACCACACCTTCTGCTCTGCAACTGCAGCGCAGGAATTTGGGGACTTCAGCTATGCAGGGGCTGGAATGAATGCATGCAAATGTACGACCGCATGCAACATATTGATCCCTTTTCTGCCTTTTTACCCCTGAAGCAAAAAGGAAAGAATGAATATGCCTGACATGGACATAATAAATGTGATTTATGCATTTGTCCATATGTTTAGAAAAATCAACAAAGAGTTTGTTTCCGAGAAAAGTGTTTTATGGTCTGAGCTTGCCCTTAAAAACTTGCATCCTGATAAGACATGAAACTGGCTTTCAAGACACTGAGAACATATTTTATTTACATTCTCACTATGAGAACGTATGCATCACCATTTTCTCAAGTTAACGTTTGACAGTAATGGTTATGTCGCTTTCAGATTTCTGTGCATTATGCTTTTCTGCATGCTCTTCCCACTAGATGTAACTAAATATCACAGTCTATGTGACATCACCCATTGGTTTCAGAAGAGGAGTAATGAAGCCCAATAATGGCTGATGGCATATTGGAAGCGCTAGCTTGAGCTAACTTTTGATCAGTCAAGACAAAGAGGTGGAGCGGCGGCCTTTGGCCTCCTGGCTAACAGCTACACGTATCCACCTGTCAGTCAACTCATCTGATTATGCAAATTCATGAATAACTTTTAGGCTGAAGAATCAAACCGGATTAGTTTTAAAAGTAAGAAATGAGCTATAGATACCATATCTGTTTTTCGAGCCAGGTTTCAAACGTATGTATTGCTTCCGTAAAGAGCGGCATTTTAACATGGAACAGATGGGGATTCCTCGGCTTTTGCCACCAGGCTCAAGTGGACACTCCAAGAACTGCAGTTTTTTTGTACTTCTGCATTGGCTTCTTGCTTCAACGCTTAAGTTTTCTGCTTGGTTTTAACAGTGTTAGTTGACTTAATTGACCTTAATCAATAAAAACATGACTTAAAATAGTATATCCATATACAAGGAGCCGCGATCTTTCTATAAAGGTTCATTTGTGAAAATATAACATTCTTCTAGGCTTCAGGGATACCAAGGCAAACTCTTTTGAATTTTTGATAAAAAAAAGTATTTGATTTGATCATTTGAAAGGACAGCTGAAGAGAGACGGGAAATGTTGGGAAGAGACAGTTGGGAACGACTTGCAGCAAAGGGGCCGAGGTCGGACCACAGCCTCCATTTATGAGGTAGATGAAATAACCGCCAGGCTATACGGCGCCCCATGCAGAACTTGTTTGATGTCCCATCCGTTCCTCAATCAGAAAAGCAACAAAGCACATTTTTACTCTCTTCAAATTTTAACAAGTTCAATTTTATTCATATAAGCCTGAATATATCCCATTCTTTTGATTTTTATGTCTTGAAACATTTCTGTAGGAGAGGATCTTATTAATAATATGAATTGATTTCCACACTTCTTCCAATGCAGACTGGTCCGTTTAAACGCATCTCATTGAGGAAGCTTTTGAAAGTGGAGCTCGTAACTGCAGATACAAAAGGTAAGATAACCATAGAAGGAAATACAAGACTGAGACAAAGTCTCAAGGACTGTCCTTAAAGCAAGTAAAGTTTCCTCTCCGGGGCTGCAGTCCCCTCGGTGTAACTCCAGACTTTGGGGCAAAGTTAGCTGAGCTGCAGTTTTTGAGAATGAAAGGAAAGGAAAAACCGAAACCCAACTCCACGAGGGTCTGCCTGTCTGCTATTGTGGATATTTTTATCGGCAGCGTGTCTATGGCGGAGACACAGTGGGAAATACGAACCAGCCAACCCAAGCTGACAGAGAGGAGTCAGACTGTCAAGAGGTCTGCGTCACCCCCTCACCACCACCCCCCATGCTACAACACCCAAATGGATTGTCATATCAGATTTAGGTGTATAGGTTATTACACCCTTGGGCTCCTGTTTCCAACACACCCGTCTGCATGGCGGTGTTTAGTTTGAGGACTCTCTTCTTCTTCTTCTCTTTCTTTGGTTCTCCAAGTTCCTGATTTCTTTGATAAAACAAAAACAGCCCGGGCAGATAAAGTGATGGAAGAGATTACATCTGGCAGATTTGACCTGTTGTATAGGTCCTCCTTCATCACTACACAACTTCAGCATCCCAAATCCACTCTATTGACTTTGTGCAGTTACAAATACTGGATATTAAAAAACAGGTCTCTTCATGGCTGTAACCCAGTAAACTGTCGTGTATTATGCCCTGGCCTGAAGGAGAAATCAATGTAGAGCATTTCCCTTAATCCTGGTATTTACTTCAGAGAAAAACAGGATTTATCGACCACACAGGGACAGGCAGTAGTAACATTAAGTGATGCACTTGAATAAGCATCGCTCTTTGGCTGCTTTATATTTGAAGTGTTCTCTCATGTTAAAACATTCAAACAGCTGCGAGAGAGAGGCAAAACTTACTCCTATTAAATGCTGAACTCTGTCTTTTGCCTCTCTCCTAGCCAGGCGTGTGGTGCTTCTGAGGTGGAGGGATGCTGCGACTGTGTGGGGACCTTTCCTGGACCACATTCAGAAACTCCCATCAATTTAAAGAAGCACTCTCCTCTCCTTGTCTTTTTCTTTTTGAATATACATCTGTGATATATTATAATCATACAATTTGAATCCTTATTGTCTTTCTTCTGTACTTTTCTGCTACTTGTCTACTTTTGTATTTTTCCCAACTCACAGTATGTTATTTAATTTATGTCCTTTTTATTTTTTTGTTTCTCCATGTCATTCTTTTTATTTCATGGTCTACAAAACCCGAATTCCAGCACTTACTTGATCTTTAACTGCAGATTTTGATATTTAAGCACAGTGATATGAACATCCAGCAGTAGACAGGGATGTGAGGGAATGAGAGAGGGGGTTGCTGATCCTTTTGTGTCTTTTGCTCATTCCAAGAGCTCATTGTACTGTAATTATCTGTATAAAAACTAATAAAAATATTGTTGAGTAAAAGCATTCAGACAGGGACTAAAGATTTTATAATTCTGCAAGATGAAATTTAGGTCCAGATGTCCAGAAATCTAATCTTCTCAATTAAATTAATTGGGAATTAATTAGTGTCAGCATGCATTTAGTCTGATTCACATCTTTTAAATATGCCTTTCACTGCACAGTAAAACATCACCACTGTCTGGAAGCGTTTTGTTCATCGCTTCCTTGTCAAGTCAATTCAAACTTATCTGCATGGTCTAATTTCATAAATCTGCCTCAGGGGGCCTTAAAATATTCACAGATAACACACTTCATTCTCAGACCCATTATTTCAAACATATTCCATGAAAGCTCGTTTCTCCGGCACAGTTTCTTGGAATACTTTTCATGAAAACTCGATTTCTGAAGGCTGAGTGCTCTAGCACTTGATTGACGTTTACAAGTGCCTTTGTTGAATGGTGTCTGTGGAATTGTTGGTCTCAGGAGAGAGAGAGATTAGCTTGTTTTTACCTATGAGCAGTTCCCCATTCATGAGTTGTGCACATGCCTAAGAGTGTGCCTGATATGCAAATGAGCTTACAAATATGGATTAAATTATGTCAAATACCCAAATCTACTCAAATGTGGGAGGGTCCATTTTTCATGTTTATGTAGGATTGTTTTTAGAAAATGTTTTTAGTAAATCTCATAATTAAAGATCTCATTGATGTTAATGATTTACTTTTGTTTCAGGGGGGACAGAGGGGTCTCCAGTTAAAAACAGAGACAGGGAAGAACAAACAGCACGGTAGTTAATATCAATAAAAAAGATTATGGATTTAAAAATATATATATATTTCTTTGCAGCTGTTTTATTGAGAGAGAACTGTGGTAAAGTCTGGAGGTGTACAGACAATACGTTTTGGTTAGACTCACTGGATATGAGCACTTCTTTTGTTCAGAAAACCCCCCAGCAGAGCCAATTACATTCTCCCCATACTGGTGTTGGTTCTCTCCGAATACTCAAGCTACCTCCCACTGTCCAAAGACATGCTCGTTAGGTTAACTGGGGACTCTAAATTGCCCGTAGGCGTTATTCTAACGGTTGTCTTTGTCAGTTTTGTGATAGACTGGACAGGTGTCCAGGGTGAACTCTGCCTCTCTACAATTCTGATTCATTTAGCAGATGCTTTTGTCCAAAGAGACATACATCAGAGCAAAAACAAGCAAGGATCTAGAAGAGGAAACAACTTCCTTAAGGGCCAACAAACAGCTTTAAAGTCTTAATATGTGATTTTTCACACTTAAATGTAATAGAAATCAAGTATATCCTCTGAAAATAACTCTGTGAGTCATGACTGTCTACAATAGGTGTAACACCCGAGTCCCACTGTCTGTGATGTTTTCAGAGTTTTCAGAGTCCTATCTTCAGTTTGTTTACATCGCAAGGACGGCCGGCTGACTCCTCCCCTCGTGTATAAAAGTTGTTTAATTGAGGGACTAGAGAAAAGAAGAATAACATACTGTACTCACTGCTTAACTGTGTTTCTAGATTTCAGGTAAATTGACATGCAGGGAACCCCTGCGCTTGCCCGATGTACAGAGGCGGTGGTCCTCAAGAGCAGGCAGATCTGGGTTTGAATCTGACCAATGGTTCCTATACAGCTTCTCATTCCTCAATTGCTCAAATTCCTCCAACTCTCTCTCTCCCCGGTTTCTTCTTATTTCACAGTAAAAAAAGTATTGTAGTGTCACTTTTTTCCAATACAGTTCAGCCCTAAGTCCAATGTTTAAGATATCAGAGTAATACCTTTGAACATCAGTTTATTAGTGCATCTTTATTGCCAAGTTAATCACCTTCAGCTCAGGAAACAACATTATTTACAAAAATAAGGGTAATGCTGTATAAGAGGGCGATTATGAAATGACATGTTTACAACTGAACTGTGAACACATGAGCCGCACTCAGGAAACAAACATACAGTTTCATGATGAGGGGGCATTCTTCACTATTTCCAATTTAAAAAAAAAAAGAATATTTCGGTCGTAGGTGAAATAACCTATAATGCAAGTTTAGATGGTCACCCAAAAATTATTTAACAGAAATTATTTGAAAACTGTGAAACCCAGACAACCGCAGTGGTAAGGATTTATTGATTTCGCACAGTTGTTGTTGACCAACATTCATGTGTCGATGAAATGGGATATTTATGCGTCTGCAGACGGGGTTTAGGTTTGTGTGTGTGTGTGTGTGTGTGTGTGTGTGTGTGTGTGTGTGTGTGTGTGTGTGTGTGTGTGTGTGCGTGTGTGTGTGTGTGTGTGTGTGTGTGTGTGGAGAGTCTTAGAATGAACTGAGGTTATTATAGTCATCCAAAAACACAGTGATTTACAAGTGCAATACAAGTGTGCAATATTAACCTTAAAAACAAAAAACTGTGTAATTCTATAATGTGAAAAATATGTGTGCAATAACCTCAGGTGCAATAAGAGATAATAAGTGCAATAAGAAAACACATTTATATTTTCATTTCATTGTACAGTGTTCCCGTTTGTTATTTATTTCTATTATATCTTTGCTTTAATACAGTGTATAGCTTCTGTACAGTTTATTTTAATTTACTCAGCTGTTACTACAACTTATTATTATTATTTTTTTGTACTTTTCTACTCTTTTTTTCTTATTCTTATAATGCTATTCTATTTTATATATAATTTTAACTTTTATTTGTAGAAGCTGACTCAGGGAGAAACGCACAAGAATGCCAATGTACCTGTACTGTCCTGTTCCTGTGCAAATGGCAATAAACATCTATTCTAATCTAAATATTGTTTTTGAAATGCATCCTCTTTTTAAAGGGTTTCCTAACAGATATGTGTTTTGTCAGGTTTTTGAATACAGTTTGATTTGGCGTATAGAAAGAAAGAGGAAAGAGGAAAGCAGGATCATTGCTCTTACCTTGCAGTGTTGAGTAAAGGGTGTTGAGTCCCGACCAGCTTCCTCACATGCATGGCGACATTACTGAGTTCATCACTGAGCAGGCAGCGCAGACTCATGAAGGAGGTTGGATATCCCACTATCTTCTCTGCGTCAGACACCACTTTACTCCAGTTTGAAGGGACGGAGCTGGAGAACAGACTCAGCGTCCTCTGTCCCCGGCTGGACACATACTTGCATGTCAGTCGTGACCATGTAGCTGGCAGCATTTTCTCTGACTGTATCTTGTCTTTTTAAAATGATACAGTTACTGTAAAAGCCATTCAGGTAATAACTAACATCTTAAAATTATATCAACAGATTGCAAAGCTAGCGTTACAGTGCCACATGTTTACTATTTACATAAAACAAGTATTTACTAGCCTAAAAACTCGTTCATTCGGTCATTTACAGAGTTATTAGATGTTTCACAACACACGACCTGACACTGCGGGCCGCCATCTTTGAAAACGTAATACGTGACGTTGTAAAACGTAATGACGTTTGACGCTAAATTCCAACGCCGTGCTGTGAGGGAAAAGCCCCTTCAGCGTTAATGGAATTAATTAAATGAAATTAGTCGGTCATGTTTGTTAAATACAAATATTATAATAAAGAGAGGGAAGAAATAGTGCAGCGCCCGGAAGTCAGATAGATTTACGTCCTCTTGTTGTTTGTCAAGGCTCAGCCCTAATATAAAGTGACATGTAGTCATTTAAACTTTTTTTTTATTTCCATAGCTTCATCTGGAGAACATCAAACTTTGACTTTATCTTATACAACCTGGTGGTTGTGTCACATCCATCATCATGGTCCACTATAAAAAAACGGAGGGCAGAATGTTGTGGGAATGCTCGGCCATTAGGAGCAACAGTTTTTATTCTTTTAGACGTCTCAGGTGTGAATCCACAGAAATGTTCACTGATCAACACTGAGATGCCATCCAGGGGTGATATTCATGTCCAATACACATAGTAGCCTACCTGCAGCTCCTTACAATATCTTTTGACTTTGTGGTCTCACAATGTCTTTGATTTGCATTAAACGGATTAAATGAGTTTTAATCCATTCATCAACCAATCAGACTTGATTTATTTTTGTAAATTATTAAGACACTAATCGAGTTCTTCCTTGCCACTGTAACTTTGCTAAATGTTGCTTAGTGCTGTGTTCATTAGGGATTAATATTAGGTCTTTGTAATATAATATAACAAAGATAAGGTCTTTTCCCTGCTTTTTTGTCTACAGATAGCATTTGTTATGAATTGGTATTAAAAAAATACATACTGATTGATTAAAAAGTGATTGAATTTACAGCAAGGAAACATCAGAGGCAGTTTTTTGAAACAGCCCTATTAAAAGAATGTCTTGGTATATACCCACATATAGTCTACCATAAATTAAAACACATTCAACATAACATGAATACGCTGAGATTTAAGCCTAAAGGCCAAATTAAAGGGTTGGCTATACAATACAAATTGAGACAGATAAACAAATAGCTTCAAGCTCTATTAAAAGTCTAAATTCAAATTGAAGTTCTCATTTAATATATATATATATATATATATATATATATATATATAAAAAGTGCTGCTCAGTTTGTATTTGTCAATATAGAAAGGGCAAACTAAGAATTTGGTTATATAAGTGTTAAGGACCATATGCTCTCATACTGAAACAGCCACCTTGCCTATAAAGATGATTCTGATTCTGACATGGAGATGTAGGACTGATATCGTAAAGAAGGGCACAGCCTGATAAATATGCTATCAAGGAGGGAGCTTTTATGAGTGGAGTTACTCAGCATCTCTGCTAAAGTAATGTGAGGTCACAGCTGCTTTCCATTTGCTGTTATTATTTTCACATTTGCAAAGCTGCTGAATGCAACCTGATGCATTAGTGATGTTCATTTATAGTCCCATAGTCATTGAGGAGAAACCCCTTAATGTTATGTTGATCTTTTACTCCATTATTCTCTTTCTGATGGTTGAACAGCCAGTACTAACTCACCGTTTTGTTTTTCATTCAATTAACACTGAAGCAGTTTGTATCTTATTTTTTTTTTTAATAATTCTAAATAACAAGACAATAGGTGTATCATATTATGTTTGACTTAAAGGGCACATGTGATGTATTTAATATTTGCCTGTCTAGTTACATCCTCTCTGTCTTTTGCCCTTTTCCACTTTTCAGAAAATGTGTGCTCAACAAGGCCGTTTGGATATTTTCCCTTTGTGAAATCACAAAGGGGGGCAGTAGCCCCTCCCCCAGGTGGGTGACACTCCCACAGCTAGGTGTTTGTTCTGCCCTCTGAGTTTGCCTTCTCACTGTAAACGATTGGGCATGGTGCGAGACAGCCCAAGCCACATCTCCTTCCAGAGAGGGGGTGTGGTCAAACACAGCTCATTTACATTTAAAGGTACAGACACAGAAACAGCCTGTTCTGAGCAGGTCTGAAATAGAGGGGTTTAAAGTCATGAACAACTTCACAGACATGTTTTGGGGAGCTCTGAGACTTATTTAAACTTGTTGAAATGGAGAATAATACCTGACCTTTAACACTAATGTGGGAGAAAGTCTTACTTTGTTCTGATGTGAATGTGTTTCTTTAATGGCAAACATCATCACAAAACCACAGATTTGAACTCACTGTAACTCTTGTGCTAAGATAAAAGATAGAAGATTGGAATACCAGGTAGAAGAAAAGCAAATACTATTAAATTAAAAACAAGCATGCCATGTTTTATGTTTGTAATGCAACCCTTGTGACGATATGACAGTTCCACTGTATGAAAAGAGAATGCCCCTTCAGAGTCAGGTTTACTGTAACAATGCTTTCATTGAATCCATCTGCTTATTACTGAACTGCAGTGAAAGTCTTTCAAGGACAAAAAGGTAACATGGAGCTGCTGAGTAGAGCACAAACACATGCTGTATCCATTTGTTAGCCTATATGATATACAAAAACTCCATTTATCCATTATCAGTAAACCATGCTGTTAAAGATAGACATAACATCCTCAGGATTTATTCTGTTACAGAATTACATACTGCAAGCAATCACACCAAAATGCTACAGATTAATTTGAATTATATATTTTAGAATGCTACTCCAGTCATATAATGGAACAGCCATTATTTTCTGAGGATTTTCTTATCCACAGAGCTGCTGATTTTAGGGAATCATCAAGTATTACAGGTACACTAAACCAACCTGCTGTAGTTGGGGGGGGGGGGGGGGGGGGGGGCTTAGAGAAGGAAACTGGGCTGGTCAGGTGAGCTCCTGGTTTGGAAGGCATGGAAAGAGCAACACTGTAACACACAAGCCGTCTCACCCTGACCCTCCATCACGGTTCACAGCTCCTGTCCCTCCACTGATTTTCCAGCTCAAATGGGCGTCACAATGCCATGAGCACTCACCATGGCTTTCTACCTGCCAACTCATTGCTATTCCAATGGAAGTAAGAGGACAGCACACAGCTCAAACAGGTAAACTCATAACAAGAGCAAAAATATTTATTAATAGGATCTGGATCTGTTTCATATTAAATACTTTATCAACAGTTAATGGAGCCCCTATATGAGGAAATATCCCTGTGTTCATTTTAAAACATGTAATTTTAATATTTTTAACAAGCTTTTCAACAATAAGAGAAAATTAAAACACATGTCTGAATGCATTTGTATGTCAGTGTATGCTGAGATACGAATGAGTCTATATATGCATTTGTGACATGTACATACAAAGTAAAGACCTTTACACATCGTCGATCAGGTGAATTTTTCTTTTAATGGTAAAAGTTTCTAGAATCCAATTCATATAAACTCACACGTCACACGGTTTGATCCCCAGCTCCTGCAGCCACTTGTCCGTTGTGTCCTTGGGCAAGACTCTTATTATTCATATGTCTGAATGGGATTAGCTAATACTGATGGACACTTTACATATAAACCCCTACGATCAGTGTGTGAATGAGTGTTAATGACCTGCGGTATAAAAGAGCTTTGAGTAGGCTGAAGACTAGAAAAGTGCTTTACAAGCTCAAGTCCACTTACCATTAACACAACATTGGCTGTGCCACTTAGGAGCAATTTGCAATGTGGGGGTCAGTGTCTTGCCCAAGGACACTTCTACATGTAACACACTTGTGCAGGAGCTGGGGATCAAACCCCTGACCTTCCGGTTGAGAGATGGCAGACTCTACCACTGAGCCACAGCCCAGCATCCCCATTGTGTATGATGTTCCATCAAGTGTTTATGTGCATTATGCAATAATAGTCAACCAGCATGCTTTCACAAGGGCCATGATAAAATATAAACTGAATGGTTTGCAGTCAATTTTTATGAAAATCAAATTTTAATGAAATGTCCTGCATGAAAGGGCTTGTAGCATTGATAAGTCTGTTTTCCTTGTGTATGTGCAGGATTCCTCAAATGACAAAATAACAACTGTTTCTATTTAACCTACTTAATTATCATCATTTTAAAGTTTTTTTTCCAAAATTGTGTTGAAACTGAAGTTCTTTTCTTACAATCTTACACTGAGTAAGGGTGGGAGATGCTCATTGATCTGTCACATGATGATGATAACAGGTTTTGTATATTTTTTGATACATCTATTTGGGTATATTTGTGAAGATGTTGGTATCAAATTACTAACTGCTTCACTTATAAAAGTTTGAGGTGATGTGGGTGTTTGGCCTACATCGTTCCTGCCTGTCTTTCCTAAGTCTAAGAATGAAAAAAACAAACTGCATTGCTAACATATTTAATTAGAAGAAATTTGAAAAAGAAAGAAAAGTAAGACACCTGGAGGCTTATTAGTTTCCATGTCATATTGTAACCTGAGGGAACAATCTCATGGAGAAGAGGCTTTAGGGTAAACTAAATCTTAATTTGAAACACAATGGCCCAGTAATTACACAACCAAAACATATAGAAAAGTCTCCTTTGTCTACAGTGAGAGCTCTTTTCTTACTGCGTTGTATTTGTCTTAGCCTGCTCTTCTTTTTAGATTACACAGATTTCCCCTTTCTACAGAAGACTGCATTATCATGCTGAGGTACATATGCAGTTTCTATTTGCAAGACAAATTATAATTCCTGCAACATTTACTGACACTGAGCTGTCCTTGAGCAAGGCACTTAACCTATACCGCACATGCACGGTTGCTCTGAATGGCTAAATGTCTTTTTGCACATGCACCTCATCTAAATGAAACTTCCAGACTGGAGTTTTGAGTGTGCAGTATTCACTAACTGAAGCAATGAAGTCTGAAACTGACAAAGAAACTTCACCTCATGTTTCCCCAACATCGACAGGTAGTTAGACTCCCCTTAAGAACAAAAGTGGGTCTGGCAGACTGTGTGGGCACCTGTTTGCAGACTGTCACCATGAGAAAGCAGCGTTAAGTGGATGTGACTGCTCTGATTGCACCCCATTGGAAAGCGAGAAGAAATAGCC